CTCAGACACTTTGCTTTCTCCTAGAATTTTCCCCCAGCCCAGCGGTATTTGCACAATGGAGAACACCCTTTTCCCTTCGGTGAACATGGGGCTTTCAGAGAGACCTGTGGTCTTCAGCCCCGAGGTCCTTAAAGCAGGTCCTGAGGACACTCGTGGGCAGGGGCATAAGGACCATCTCCGAGGGAGAATGGGATTTTCCAAGTTCTCTGGGGACTGAGCCTGCAGACACTGAGGAAGGATGCCGTGACACCTGCCTGCCCCAGGGTCCCGTCACAGGACTGCCCACAGCAGCCTCCACGGCTTCAAGACGCTGAGCTCTGAAACGTTATTTTTCTCTCCCAGTCAGTCAGCAGGGGTGACTGGCTTTGCCTCCTCTAGAGACCTGGGCTCCATGGGGTCCCCTCACCCACAGGCTAAGAAGAGAGGCAAGAACTCCATCGCGGGGTTGAGGATGGAGGGGCCGCCTGGAGCTGCCCCTTTAGTAAGACAGGGGGCAGCTGAGAGCCTCGTGGCTGCCCTCTGGTGGCCATCGTGGGTAGTCAAGAACCTCCACGCCAGCCTGCACTGTGGTCAGTTCCATGTGTTGGACTACTTCCCTGTAAGAGATCATTCGCTCCCCAGTCCTTGCCTGGTATACAGCTCTACAATTTAGATACAGACGATGAAAACAGAGCACAGTTCTTTCCCTGAACCAGGCAACTTTCACGTGGTGGGATTTCTTTCCTTTCCAAATGATTTAACTTCAATTCGGTTAGGAAATAGGACCTTCTACACTTTTATTTCAATGAGCATCTGCTAACCGGCTCTGAGTCCTTCATCTTGGGATCTACTGTGATAGCAGTAACTATAGCCAGGATGAACCTGATGGGGGACCCAGGCTTTTTTTCCCAATGCTGGGAAAAGTGCCCTGCACACCTTTCCCATCTCCCTCCCCCAGCTGGAAGAAGCTGCCCTTGGCAGGACCCGGAGCGGCCAGCTGTCTGCTCCCTCAGCTCCATCGTTCACCGTGGCTCTGCTCAGGTGGCTCCTCTCTCGAGCTCTTTGAAAGAGCAGCCTGTGTTGTGCTTGCTTCCAGAATTCTTTCCCACGGGGGTTACAGATTAATAGTCACTTTTATTGTCAGTGGCAGGGCCGCTGTCATCAGCGGCGTGAGCTCCTGCCCTCCCAGGGATGACACATGCCAGATGCTCTATAAACGTTTAAAGCGTGCGTGTGCACAGGCTGGGGAGCCAGCATCGTGCTCGGTGAAGGGGTGAAGGACGGGATGGATGGGTTTCCAGCTCTCCCCTCTCCGTAAGCACAATCCTGGCTTTGTTTTGTCTTAGGCAGCCTTCCTTCAGCTCTCTGGGAACGGGTGTCTTTGCCTGAAAAGCAGACCCTATCCAAGCCTCAGACCTCCCCACCCCCCAACCTCCAGGCTCCTACAGGCTATTTCTCTGAATTCTCTCTTCTCCCCTTGGTGTCTCCCCCTGCGGTTGTGTGCATCAGATCACTGGTCCATCAAAGATCCCACTCCCTCTGCCTCCACCCAACGGGGCCAGGGCGAGGATGAGGCAGGAGAGGCACCTGGGGCGGATTGAAGGAGGCATCCCCCTCAGGGGCATGAATGTGTGAGCGAGCCGTCTTCCTGCGGGCGAAGGCGGGGTCTTTTCCCTGGATCGCAGGGACCCATGCACGGGAGATGGTGGTGTGGTGAGCTTCGTATTGGGTGGAGATAGAAGGCTGCCCCCAGCTTCTCAGGTCTCATCTCTGTCCATCCCTCTGTGGAAGAAGGCCAGTGCTGTCTTCACCAAGCCCCATACCAAGGCCAAGGTGAGAAAGTCCTGTGCCATGTGAAAGCAGAGTTCGTATCTGTCCCCGCTTGTATCTGTCCCCATCCCGTCCCCTGTGCTCAGCTGGCCCTGTGGCCATGTTGGGTCCACTCAGCTGCTGGCACAGGTGATGGCTAGATTTACATGATCACCACAAAATTCATGACCAAACACAGGACGAGAGAGAGAGAGAGAGAGAGAGAGAGAGAGAGAGAGAGAGAGAGAGAGAGAGAGAGAGAGAGGGAGAGAGAGAACGCCCTTTGTCAGGCTGATTATATTATCTCGAGCTTGGGAAAAACTGGGCACTTCTTCAAACTAACCATTCAACTCCCCAAGCTTTCCTGGGCTTGGGATGTGTCCACCCCTAACCAATGGATTTCCTCCATCTCCCAGGATTTGGGTCCCTTATCCATCCCTCCTTTTCCCCAGGCCACACAGACAGGCCTCTGCAGTTGCCTTCTTAGCTTCTGCTGCACATGCGCCAGCAGAGTAATTTCTTCAGTTGTTTTTATTCCCTGGAGGGGGTGGAGGAGGATGCCGGGGGAAAGGGGGGGGGGGGAAGCAGCTATAACTTCTTAGTGAAGCACTTCGAATATTGGATTCTGCTTCCCAGTTTATTATGCTTAATAATGTCTGGTTCCCTTTGCTCCCTGCCTTTATTAATATCTAGTTACCCAGGCTAACACGCTCAGGGTATTTGAGGTGCATTCAGTCCACACATGCTGCCACCTCCCAGCTCTGCTGCCTGCACTCGCTGGCAGGGGGTGGGAGGGCTTTGGCCCTGCCCCGGGCAGCAGCCTTCAGGGCTGGCCAGGTCCCGGTGGCTTGCTGTGGGCCAGCAGCTGCTGCAGCAGCTTCTCCATTCTATGGAAACTGGAAACCACACAGTTGCAGACAGACAGGAAGACAACGGGGCGTAGGTGGGGTTCCTCCTGCACTCTCAGCCCCCATCCCGGGCACAGCCGTGAAGTCTCCCCCACTCTGCCCTCCTCCTCACCCCTGGCTCCTAAAAGCCTGCTGAGTGCTCCTCCTTTCTATCCGGGCTCTGCCTCTGCCTCCTTCTCTGCCCCACCCACTCCTCTCCTCTAACACCCTCCCCCCTCTTTTTGTCCCTCCTCCCCTCTCCGCCTGGAGGAAACACAGCCTTCAGGCCAGTCCAAGGAGCTAGACAGGGCATCGCATGGGCATGGCGCACCTTACACACCCACCCCAGTTCCCCCGGCCCTGAGTCTCTGCCCTATTCTCCAGGTTTATGTGAGCTCAGGCAGCTGTTTGGCCACAGTCAACACCTGCTCCCCGCCCCCAGTCCCAGCCCCAAGCCCCTAACCTCCAGCCCCCAACCCTCAGCCCCCAGCCCCAGCCCAGCCCCCAGCAGAGATGGGCTGATGGAGCTACTGTGCCTGCACTGGCTTCCAGAAGGGCAGGGAAGACTGGGGCAGCCCACTGCCAGCTGCTCTCTGAGGAATGCAGGAGCCCTTGAACTCACAGCCAGTTGACTCCTGCACACCCTGGAGCGGTCAATACTGTGGTCTGACCAGTGAGTGGCCGCGGGAGGACCTGCTACTGCAGGCTTAGCCCTTCCTGCGCCTTCCTCCCTTCCTCGCTCCATTTCCCCAGCTGTCACACACCCTGAGGTTGTCCCTGCAGGGAGGGAGGGATCTCCTAGTTCTCACGGATCCCCTCCTGCCTCCTCCCGGTCAGTTTCCCTACCTTCTTCTCAAGGAAAGGCCAGGAGAGACTGCGCCTATTTCCTGCTCCGATGGACCACTCAATGCGGGTTTTGCAAGGAGGGGCATGACTGGCAAAAATCCCGTACTTCCAGCCTCCCGGCCCGCCCCGCACTCAGACACATCCCACTTCACAGGAGCTGGGAGACACCACCACAGGGCAAGCCTGTCCTTGGCTCCTGGGGGCAGCAGCCAAGGGGGCCTGGTCCCTGCCTCATGGAGCTCCCAGCCTGGGAGGACAGACTGGGAGCAGGGCTGCTCCACCTCCACAGGCCTTATCTGACTCTCCCTGGCCCTCCTCCCTCTCCTCCCTTCCCTCCCTCCCTCACCTCCCCTCTGTCCCTTCTCACCCCTCCATTCCCTCCCCTTCCTTCCCCCTCTCTCCTCCCAACCTCCCTACCCCCTCCTATCCTCTCTACCCCCTCTTTTACCTCTCTCTCCTTCCTCCTCCCTCTCCCCTCTCTCCCCTCCCTTCTTTCTCTCCCCTCTCTCTGGCATTTAAGTAGCAACAGTTAATAGGGTTTGAGTGCCGGCTATGCAGAGCCCATTCTGCAGCCTTGCAGGGGCCGATTTTGCCCCGCTGGTGGTGATGACTGGGCTGCTAGCCTGTCTTCTCATCAAAACTGCGGGCTCCTGGAAGGCAGGAGCTGTGCCTTTCACCTGTGTGTCCCCAGCCTCTGGCTCAGCGTGGATGCTCAGCCAATCCCTGCTGCGTGGGTGACGGACTTGGCAATTGGCGTCACCATGACTGCCTTCCTTTGGCCTCTGCCCAGAGCCAGGCAGCTCTGTCAGGACCCCTGCTCTGCCCTCTCTGCGCTGAGGGGCCCCAGCCCTCCCTCCACCAGGAGCTGCTCAGAGCCTTCCCTTGACCACCAGCCCCAGAACCGCCAGAGCGAGGAGCCTGTTTTACCTCCGGTTCCCATGCCCCTGGCAGCCCTGCTGCCCTGGACTCCCTCTGCGGCCTTGTGTGCCACAGGGTGAAGGCCACCAGCCTCCAGAACAAGGGTCTGATGCCAACCCCGGCATTCCAGGCCCCTGGATGGTGGCCCCAGGCCCTTCCTCATCCTTACCACCTCAGCCTAAGGGATTCCTCCTGGTCCCCTCACCTTCCCTGGTGCCCACTCGGGCCTCCGGAGGGAGGTGGGAGGCCAGGATGCGGGCTTGTGCGGGGCGATTGCTTACCCAGCCACAGGCACATGAAAGACACCGACTTACCAGAAATGGCCCTGGAAGAGCCCGGCCAGACTCGCAGCCAACTTCCACTTTCCTCTGATGTTTTCACTTTCGGGGCGTCTTGTTTTGAGTGAGATTCCTCCTTCTGCACATGGGACTTTCCAGAAGGATCACAGCTGTGCTTCCATGCAGCCACGGGGCCTGTCCCCATTCAAGGCCTCCCAGCCCCAGGCAGAGGATGTCCTGGCTGCTGGCTGCCAGGGGCGCTGCCCCGGCTCTCCCGAGGAGGATGGCGGCATGGTCCCTGTGGCTTCCCCTTCTCTGGGCAGGTGAGTGGGGCGGGCAAGCGGTCTGTCCTCCAAGAACTGACCCCTCGGGCCACCCCTCGCCAGATGTCTGCGCAGGGTCCCCCAATCCCAAGGAAGAACTCAGGCACCGGGAGGGGAATACGAATGCAAGTTTGGGGGCAGCCTTTAAAACCAGGCCAAGGCTCAGAGATGCAGGGTCCTGGGTGGAAGGAGGCAGCGGCCCCAGGAGAACCCACGTCCAGGAGACTCGAGCTGCACTGCGGCCCAGGGCTGTTGAGACGGAGGCTGGTCGGACCAGTGGTTTGGAAAGAGCTGGCTGTAAGAATGGTGAGAGTCTGGCAGTGTTAACACGTGAGAATTCTAAATACAGCCTGAGGAGCACAGGGGAGGGCAGGGCAGGACAAGGAAGGATCTTTCCATCTGAGAATGCAGTTCCTCAGCCCATGGGAAACCGGGGCTGTCCTGAGGCGTGTGTACGGGATACTGAGTAGGGATGAGAGGCGAGAGCAAGTTTAAGGCAGCACATGTGGGCCTGGAGGGCGGATCATCTGGTGTGGGATGCCTGCCTGTTGGGTCTCTTCAGCCCCAGGCAATTCCTCTAGGCCAGTGGTTGGCAAACAGAGCCATTAGTCAACGGAGCCAACTAGCAACAGCACAACGATTGACATTTCTTTAGAGAGCCAAATTTTTTTAAAACTTAAACTTCTTCTAATGCCACTTCTTCAAAATAGACTTGCCCAGGCTGTGGTATTTTGGGAAGAGCCACACTCAAGGGGCCAAAGAGCAGCATGTGGCTCTCGAGCCACAGTTTGCTGACCACGGCTCTAGTCTGTCTGGTGCCCGACTTCCCTCCTGTGGATGAGACGAGCTCAGTGTGACGCAGCTCAGGACCTCAAGGCCAGGGCACGGGCGTCCGGGGGTGTGGCAAAGACAGAGACACCTTTGTCCGCCTCAGACTCAGTGGCTTTGAGGTGACTTTGTCCAGGGTCCCTCCAGAGTCTCCAACCTAGAGAGCTCCAATCTCTGCGGATGTCACCATTTCTAAACATGGGAAGGGAATGCCTTAAAAAAAGGAAGTCTGTTTGGTTCAAAAATCTTTCAAACCCTTGCTTTTGGGAGACAAAAATCATTTTGCCAAAAGCCTCTTGATGGTAAACGAGGTGAGTGCAATGTGTGTGTGCACCCCTGGCTTTGCGGAGGGGATAGGGGGAACCCGGAGAGGAGTGTGATTGCTGGAGCTCGCACTGGCTCAGGAGTCCTGCCTGCCACCAGTGCCATCTCTCCTCTCCGTCCTGTCTCTACTCTGCATCCCCCGGAAGTCACCGCCAACCAAGCCGGAGGTGATTTGTGCCAGGGAGGGCAGTGAGGCGCGTGAGGGGCTGGAGTGGCCAGGGGCTGGTTGAGTGGCCATTCAGAACACGCCTCCTTCACCGCACTCCCAGCACCTGGGTGTGTCCCACCTGTCCTCCCATTCTGCCCTATCTGCCTGCGCCCACCACTGCGCCAGGCACGAGGTACTTCCACAGATCCTGCCATCCGTTCTGTAAAACTTCCTGAGTTTCTACATCCCCCTCCTGAGCAGCGTGGGCACGGGGAGCGCAGAGATGGAAAGAGGAACTCACAGGCCAGCGGGAGACACTGAGTCAGAGCCAGGCGATAACCACAGAAATGAGGCCAATTCATAGCAAGGATCCCAGGCTGCTGAGGGCACATGGAGAATGAGTGTGGAGCCTGCAGGGATGGATGGGGGAATTAGGGAACCCCGATGCTTCAAGGATGAGCAGCAATGAGCCACTGGAGAAGGCAGGGCGCACTTCAAGCAGAGGCATCGGCCACGTGCAGCCCTCAGCACCCTCCCCCGTCCCGTTCTGTGGCTCCTCCTGCTCTGCACCGCAGAGACCTGGCACCGTGTGGGTTCTCAGGGCCCGGGAGCCATCCTTGCCTCCTTTCCCCTTTGCTTCACAGACCCAGTCTACTACCAGATCCCGCTGATGACGCTTCTTTATCTCTCACTTCCTGCACCTCTCCCCGCCTCTCCCCGCTCCCCCTCAATACAAACTGCCATCCCTCACCTTTGGATTAAGCAGGGGTGGGGAGCCTCTTTCTGCCAAGGGCCATTTGGATATTTATAACATCATCCAAGGGCCATACAAAATGATCGACTTAAAAATTAGCTGCTCTGTGGGCCAAACATTGAATGAACTCACCCTAATGTCATGGCAGGGCCAGAGCCAATGACTGTGGGCCTTATAGGGCCCGAGGACCGAGTGTTCCCCACCCCTGGGTTCACAGAAGCAGCCTCAGGTTTGCCCACCTACAAGCCTCCTCTGCCCACTGCTGGAGTGATCTAACAGGCCTCCGATCCTGTTACTCTTACTGACTAGTAAAACCTATTCTAGGGCCCTCATGGCTCGAAGGATAAAGCCCAAGTGTCAATGTCACTTTCAGGGCCCTGCACAATCTGGTTCTCTCTGTAAAACTCATTGGGTTTCTACATCGCAACCCTGGAGCACAATTCTTTGAGATATATATATATATATATATATATATATATATATATATATATATATTTTTTTTTTTTTTTTTTTTTTTTTTTTTTTTTTTTACAGAGGAAGAGAGAGGGATAGAGAGTTAGAAACATCGATGAGAGAGAATCATCGATCAGCTGCCTCTCGCACACCTCCCACTGGGGATGTGCCTGCAACCAAGGTACATGCCCTTGACCAGAATCGAACCTGGGACCCTTCAGTCTGCAGGCTGAGCCAAACCGGTTTCGGCTGCAGCACAATTCTTATTCCCCCTGCAGAGAACTACTTTCAGCCCTCCCCCTCTTCCCCACCCTCCCACCGCGCACATGCTCGCACCCTCCAGGCCTTCCGACACGCTGTCCCCTTTGCCTGTGACACTTCTCATCCCCGTGCCAGGCAGCCCTCTGCTTGGCCTGGCAAATCCCGCTTCTCCTTTGGCCTCAGTTTACCTGAACCCCTCCAGACCAGGTGAGGTTACACTATAAAGCTGCCTGTGTTCTCCCAGAGTGGCCCCTTTTCCCATGATGGCACTTGGCTCACTATATGTTAATTGCCGTATTTTAATACATGTTAATTGCTTGGCTTCCTCTCTGAGCTCCATGAGCACAGGTATGAATTCTTTTTCTTAATTTTATTGCCAGCCCCTGCGACAGCGCATTCTCAACCTGAGTGGAGGGAGTGGGGGGAGAGGAGCCCCAGTGTGCTCCGTGCTGCGTGCAGGGGAGACTGAGGAGCCTGGGGCAGGCGGAGTGACGTGGCTGTGTTGTTCTTGCAGCACCACTTCCTGTCGCCGCTACTGGTGCCCAAGTGCAGGGCCAGGTGGGGGGCTCGGTGCTGCTAGCGGCAGAGTGCCACCCCGGCTTCCACGTCCGAGAGGCCATCTGGCGGTCCCTCTGGCCCTCGGAGGAGCTCCTGGCCACGTCTTTCCGGGGCGCCCTGGAGACACGGTACCACTCCCGCTTCCTGGGCCGCACGCAGCTGCACCGCAACCTGAGCCTGCAGCTCGGGCCGCTGGAGCCCGGAGACAGCGGCAACTTCTCGGTGCTGCTCGTGGACACCGGAGGCCGGGCCTGGACCCAGATCCTGCAGCTCAAGGTGTATGGTGAGTGTGCCTGGCTCTCTGCCCACCTTCCCTCACAAAGTCCTGGAAGGGCATTTGGAGTCCTGGGAGCTGGAGAACTGGGTTCCAGAAACCTTAGGCCTCTGACTCTGGCTGATTCAGAGTCTCCTGCAGCCACATCTAAGGAAACCCCTCAGGGTCGCCCAGGTGAGCTCCGATCGGGAGCAGCCCGGTTCTATAGTCCTAGTCTGAGCCCCAACGTGGCACTTTCTGGACTCCGTGGTCTTGGACACAAGGCTTAGTTCCGACATTCGCTGTCTTGTTAGTCAAGCGGGCATCGCGATGTTACCACACAGATGCTCAGGACAGTGAGGTACAGTGGCGCTTGGGAAAGCAACTGGGACAGAAGTTGACCTCACCAGTTCACAGGTATCCGATTAAGACATGCTATTAATTTACATGCCCCTGAAAAGGGAAAATATTGCCAATTAAACTATGGCACTATATTTTTATTAAAACTTATAATCCAACTGTAGTTAGAAGTACATAATTTTTATTTTCTATTTTTAAAAGAGTTATTCTAGATGCATTTAGAGATCTTCACTATATAGGATATTCATGGGTTCTTTCAGTCGTTCATTGCTGCAAAACATACCATCCCCAACCTTATCGGCTAAAGACAGTTATCTTATTTCTCACAATTCTTCAGGTTAGCTGGGCTCAGCCAGGCAGACCTCTGCTCCACGTGGGTTTGCAGGGTCATTTATGCAGCCTCGTTCAGCGCCTCTGCTCAGGTGTCTGAATTCACTGGGGACAGGAAGGGTCTTTCTTTCCAGCAACTTCACCTCTACCTCCATTACAACCACCTCTACCATAACCTCTACCACTATCACTACCTCCATATCTTCTTCCTCCATTATCACTTCCATAACACCATCTTTCTCCTTCATCACCCTGCCACTATCACCGCCTCTACCTCCACCATCACTTCTGCCACTAACTCTACCTCCACATGTTCCTCCACCATCACCACCTCCACCTTCACTACTTCCTCCTTCATCACCCTACACCACCTCCATCTCTACCCCCACTACCTCCACCACCACTACCATCTCCACCTCCATCATCATTTCTACCACTATCGCTATCTCTACCTCCACCTCCACCACTTCCATTACTACCTCCACCATTATCTCCACTACCCCCACCATCACCTTCATCTCCACCTCCACCATCACTTCTACCACTATCACCACCTCCACATGTACCTCTACCATCACTACCTCTACCTTCACCATCTTCCTCCTTCATTACCCTACCACTATCACCACCCCACCTCCACCATCATTTCTATCATTATCACTATCTCTATCTCTACCTTCACCACTCCACTATCACCTCCACCTCTATCTCCATTATCCCCATCATCTTCACTGCCACCACCACTGCCACCTCTACCTCCACCATTACTTCTACCACTAGTACTATTTCTACCTCTACCTCCATACCTCCACTATCACCTCCACCTCTACCACCTTTACTATATTTCTGCTGGTCAGTCAAGAAAAAGCAATGGCCTTCCAGCTCTCAATTAGATACCTAGCGGCTTGGAAATGATATGTGAAAGACCCCAAAGCACAATTTTAGTAAAACCTTGGAAATTTGGTAGATGGAGGGGAGGAAAAGTTTCAAATTCAGAAATGGAGAGTAGGGGTGACAGCTAGGAAGAGGGAAACAATGAGGGAGAGAAAGGCAGTAGCAAATTGGGAGAGAGAGAGAGACACTCCTCCCCCTCCCTGAGATAGCTAACTGGCTGCCACTCAGGGTGCTGATAAGCAGTTAGACGGGTGTCCTTCTGGATGCATGCAGCCCGGAGCCAGGAGTACAGTTCGGCAAACAGAGTGCTGGCTGGGTTTCAGCGCCCCCACTTCCCCCGTTACCCCCTGGCCAGTGCCCTTGTGCAGTGAGTAACCTACACAGGCAGCCCCGGAGCGTCTCCCTTGTTGAATCTCAGCTGTAGCACATGGGGAATGAGGACACTGAGCGTGAGAACACATGCAGCACCCACACCGCCAGGCTCAGAATGCCTTGTTCTCAGCATCCGAATTACAAATTGTAAGGAAATTGCTGTTTTATTGCTTCCAAATGCAGAGCGTGATTAAAACTAATTGCACCAAGCTGCCAAACAGCCGTCCTCAGGAGCTCCACTCTGACAATAGATAAAGAAGGATTCGAATTAGCAGATCAGTTACCAGAAGTGTCAGTGTGCTCATCGTGTTTGGAAGCAGCTTGTCCTCCTAAGGAGAATAAATATCTCCCCTGTCATCTTTGTTTATACTATTAGTGTGCCCACTAATTTGTTTCTATTTTCATATTTGTTTTCTCTTTTCATATTCCAAATCCCAACACATGGAGCTGCCATTCAGGAGGTTTTACTCTGCTTGACTTCGGAACGCTGTCAGACACGGAGTCCTCTCCTTGTGCCCAGAATGCTCTCTCGCTGGCCCCCAGTGACAGGGAGACCTGGGATTTTCTCACCAACCTACGTAGGAAAGGGGAGTCAGGACACCAGTTTGTTCAATGGCCCAAGTAGCTGAGCACCAAGAGACTAGGGGTTATGAAGATAACAAGATAGAGCCCCTTCATGGCCCTATTTTCGCCATTGCAATTATTTTCTTAACCATTTATAACCACTTGAAGTATTTGTCTTCCTCACCAAACTCTAACATCAAAAAGTCCAGGCATGTGTATGATGGGTTGCTGCTGCTACTGTTGTGTTGTTTTTTGCCTGATGTAGTAAATGCTCACTGTCTCTCTGGTTGATCTGTCATGGGGAAAGTGCTATGACAGGAGACAGGCAGGGGGCTTGGAAAGCTCAGCCCCACACCTGGAGTATTAGGGAAGGCTTCATGGTCAGGGCAGCAGGCAAGGTGTCCACGCTGGGCCCACAGTTTTCCAGGGGGCCAAGAAGATAAAGGTGTGTGTGCACTGCTGAGACACATGAAAGCATGGAAGAGCATGACATGCTTGAGAGAGCTGGAAATGATGTAGGAGCGGTGGGGAGAACCTGCAGGAGGGACAGCTGGAAAGATGGACATCAACCATTTTATGGAGGATTTTGAATCCCACACTTAGGAATTCAGCTTTGGTCCTGTGGTCAATGGGAAGCCAGACAAGGTCTTGGAGCAAGAGTGGACTCAACAGAGGTGTTATCTACCCTGGCATGGATCCCAGAGCCAAGGTGGGGGCCCTGTCCAGCACCCCGATAACCCAAAAATCTATTTTTGCCCAGATGCAGTACCCAGGCCCATGGTTCAAGTGTTCATTGCTGTATCTCAGCCCCCCAAGACCTGCCAAGCATTCCTGTCCTGCTGGGTCCCCAACATCAGTGACATAACCTATAGCTGGCGACTGGAGGGGTCCATTGACTTTGGTATCGAGCCAGATGGCCTCTTCACGGATGGTCAGGTGTTGAGGGTTTCGCTGGGATCAGAAGACAAGGGCATGGCCTTTTCCTGCGTTGTCTCCAACCCCGTCAGCTGGAATTCGACCATAGTCACCCCCTGGGAGAGCTGCCATCATGAGGCAGGTACACCACGGGTCAAGGGTTGGTGTGGGATAGTGAAGCATCAAGTCCACTTCTGACCCTGCCCCCTCCATGTCCTGCCCCAGGGAAGGCTTCCTACAAGGATGTGCTGCTGGTGGTAGTGCCCGTCTTGCTGCTTCTGATCCTGGCTGGTCTCTCTGCCTGGTACCGGATCCCCTGCTCAGGTGGGTGTTATGCGCATGCTGGAGGTGGGTGGGGAGCTAAGCCAACTGGGAAGATGGGCAGATTTAGATCTCTTTCTATTTGTCTTCGGATTGTCTGCCCTCCGTACCACTCCCACCTCATCTCTTGGCCCTTTCCATCTTGCATTCTGGCCTCCAGTCAGAATTGAAGTTCCTTTTATAATTCTTCAAGTGAACTATTATCTTACATACATCTTTGGGCCTTTTCACATTCCATTTTCCCTGTCTGGAACACACTTTCCATGATTTCCCACTCAACCCCTTCATTGGATTATGTCCTATAAAATCTATATTTTACTATATTTCAAAGAGGGGGTGGAGAGAGAAAGAGATAGAAACATCAATCATGAGAGAGAATCACTGATTGGCTGCCCCTGCACTCCCCACAACAGGGATCAATCCCAAAATCATGCCCTGACCGGGAATTGAACTGTGACCTTCTGGTTCATAGGTCGAAGCTCAACACTGAGCCACACTGGCTGGCTAATGTTCTGCTTTTAACACCCATCATTTACCCCATTCACAGCACTGATTGCACTTACTCTCCCACTAAATTCTTAGCCCTTTAAAGGCAAATGCTGAGTCACCACTGGGCATCTAGTAATCGTTTCCGTTACATCGCTGTATCAATAAAGGTTTGTTGAGCAAAAGTTTAGTCGTATCCCAACCCCTTGTTGCCTAGGAAATATTCTCTGAGCAAAGTGCTTGTCTGGCTGGGAGCTGCTAGTGCCTCTTTGTCAAGGAGAAGAAAGGGGAACCTCAGAGGTCAGCCATGTTCTGAACTCTACACCCGTCAGCCCTGCCTTTGCCCCTAATGTCCTGCCCCTGTGGCTCCCTGGTTATGTGCATCCAGGCTGTGTGGGCTTGCTGGCCCACGGTGAAGAGAGCAGTCAGCAAGGAGAAGGAGGCATGAGACCTGAGTAGCTTAGCATAGAGCTGGAGCAGAGAACTGGCTTTTATATGTTCTTTCCCTAGGGATGGGGGAAAGCAGCAAGATCAAACTCCATCCAGGGGTCCTGTCTGTCCCAGGCAGTCCCCAGAATTTATGTAGAAGCCGGGGAAAGAGCAGCTTTTTTTGTTTGAACAGCTTTATTGAAATATAATTCACATACCATACAATTCACCCATTTAAAGTGCGTACAATTCAGTGGCTTTTATTGTATTCACGGAGTTGTGTTATCCATCACCACAATCAATTTTAGGACATTTTCATTACCCCAAAACCCCTTGGTCATCCCTCCCTAATCAACCTTCTTTCACTCAACGCTCAGGAAAGAATGGCTTTGGCCACCGAGAAGGACAGAAAGAACCCAACATCCTCACAGGAAGTCCAGAGCTGGCTCTGGCTCTGCCATGTGGGCTTCTGGCCACTTAATTATACTTTTTACAGTTAAATGCCTGGCATAGTTGCAGAGGGAGGCTAGACAGTAGGAAGAACTACTTGTCTTTGAAGCATCTCCTTTTCCATGGTCTTGATAAAACGGGGGTAGGGGGAGGATGGGATTGTGGGTTTGGGGTTTTTTTGACTGAGGTGATCTTGGGCCAGGCCAAGGTTACTAAGATTCTAAACATTGGAGGGGTAACCTTCTTTCTGATCTCCTTGCAGGGAGAAAGAAGAAGGATGTCTGTGCTGATGAAGACACTCTACAGACAGAGAACCCCCTTGTATAGGGTCTGCCGTGAGGGAGGAGATAAACTGATGTGGGATCATGAGGAACCCCACTGCCCAGGCACGTGATAGCCCAGGACACGGCTGGTGTCTGGAAGCTACCATGGTCCTCGTAGCTCCTGTGAGACTCCATTCCACTTTCCAGGGGCACCTGGGCAGCTGTCACATTGGGAGGACAGAAAACATTGGAACAACTTTCCACACTCTCTCCCTTCCCTCTCCCCTTATTGCGTGCCCTGGCTTTGGTCTGGGCAAAATGGGCCTAAGAAGATATTCCCTAAAGGACACTGGACATTCTCCAGGACTCACATGGCCAGTGACTGTCGGATTCACCTCGCACCACTGTATTTGTTGAAGTTCTAACTCCAATTTCTCAAAATATGACTATTTGGAGATAGGGCCTTTAAAGATATGGTTAAGGTTAAATGAAGTCAGTGGAATAGGGCCCTAATTTAATATGCCTGGGGTCCTTATAAGAAGAAGGAGCAACACCAGAAATGCACACACAGAGAGAAAACAGCCATGGGAGGACACGGAGAGAATGAAGCCAAGGAGTGAGGCCTCCGTAGACACCAAACCAACTGATACAGTGATCTTGGACTTTTGGTCTCCAGAACTGTGAGAAGATAAATGTCTGCTGTGTAAGTCACCCAGTTAGTGGTACCTTGTTATGCTAGTCCTGACAGACTACCCTGCAGCAAAGGATTGCCTCCAGCCTGGGTCCCAGGCTTTAGGAGACATTAGACCTCTGAACTAACTGTGACTCTGAATCTCCCACATCCAGCCCCAGTCCCAGCCCCAGCCCCAAGCTCCCCTAGTTTGAGATCCCCACGCTTCCTGATGACCAAGGCATTGTCATAAGAAAAGGTCTAGAAAGAGGTGAAGGTGGGAGGTGAAGGACAAAGGTTTCTCTTTCTGGCCTGAAAGGCTTTCAGGTCATCTGAGTTCATGACCCTCAAAGGAAATGTACAGTTAGACCATCAAAGGGCGGTTTCTATCTCATGGTTGGGATGGGTACCATTTTAGAGGAACACCTTTTTTAAGATAACACCTTTTTAGTAGATAACTTCGCCATCTCTGTTAACTATCATGTCTCCTATAGGATCTGGGAGTGGGACTTGAAATTCTTGCCTTCAGTGACCAGAAAAAAAACAAATAAACAAACAAAAAAAAACAACACATATTAAATTTGCCCCAGCCAAAGTTTTTGCACAACTTCAAGAAAAGCAGCTCACCTGGCCAGTTTGACTCAGTGGATAGAGCATCGGCCTGCGAACTTAAAGGTCCCAGGTTTGATTCTGGTCGAGGGCACATGCTTGGGTTGTGGGCTCGATCCCCAGTATGGAGTGTGCAGGAGGCAGCTAATCAGTGATTCTCTCTCATCATTGATGTTTATATCTCTCTCTCCTTCTCCCTTCCTCTCTGAGCTCAATAAAAAATATATAAAATAATAAAAAATAAATTTTAAAAGAAAAGCAGCTCTGTTTGAGGTGACTGAGAAAGGAAAGAGCTAGGAAAATCTAAGCAGAAGAGAAAATCTGAAGGGGAAGGGCGCTGAAGCATCCTGGCATCTGGCACACTAATTTTCAAATGCAAGAGCAGAGGATCCACCCAAGTTCAAGGAGAGAGGGAAAAGACCCCACAACTCAAAGGGAATATGGTCAAGGTGACTTTTAAAGAAGAGCTTGTTCGATTAAAGCAATTATTGTGGCCATCTTTGGAAAATACTATCTGCCACTGAGTGATTCTGTCTAGAATAGCTCTGGGGTATTGCCACTGGGGGGGGGGGGGAGGGGGGACTCGATGAGCTAAACTTTAGAATTAGTAGGTGATAAGGTTCACAGTTACTCCCTCTCACATATAACAGGATTTTTTTTTCCCCCCTGCAGCCTCACTCAACTCTTTGATAATAGAGAGGTAGAAAGCATTGAGTAAACAGAGTAGGTTTTGAAGTATTTTCCAGGATGGCTTTGTTCATACCACCCAGGAGGTTAGTCCAGTCCAAGAATCTTCCCTCTTCACCTCAATTCCTGTGCAGTCACTTCACCTGGGAACACTGGTCAATGCAACTGGCCTTCAGATTCATCTTGCCACTCCTCCATTGATTTAGTCCTGGATTTTCCATGCCTGTTAGCTCTGCTGAGAAGTCTCCTGCTGGTCCACTGGTTTTACTTGTCTTCATGCCTTTCCTGTAGCCACTTCTCTCCCATCACCCCCAAGTCCACCTGAGCATGCACATGGCCACCCAACCTGGCAGTTGGTGTTGCCCCCACCTGCCAGCTAGTGAATCATGCAAAACTGGCCTCAGTTCCTAAAATTATGTGAAAGAGAAAACCCAAGATCTAGCAAGAGGCCATGGTGGTTGTATAAAAGATACACAAACACACACACACACACACACACACACACACACACACACATCACGCCCCATCTTACTTTCCTTCATCCCAGAATCCCATCTCAGATCAGAGCAGCTGTGGATGGGGTGGGGCCCACAGTTCTCCTTCACAAGGTAACTAGTGACCTCATTCAGACAATGGTTTTATAGGGAGGTGCACCAGGACCTTTTTCAGCAGATCTATCTTGTTCAAAAAAATTGATGTTCCCATCCCCAATGACTCACTTGTCAATTAGTGGACTAATTAACCTCCTTTGAGAAAAACTCAAAGTGCTTCTGTGAGAACAATATGTGGGTTAATAGGCATTTGGATTGATGCTTTAAAAGTCACATAAGAACAAGTATTGATTGAGGGTCAAGTGTGTGCTGAATGCACTTCAAAACACTAGGTAATCAGCAGTGGACAAAGCAACGCCCTTCCTTTATAGAGTTATATTCTTGATAATAAATAAGCAAATAAATGTATGCCAGGTGTTTATAGGTTCTACTAAAAAAGATCAGCCAAGTGAAAGACTAGCGAATGATATGTTGAGGAGAAGGGGTCCAACTTTGGATACGGTGATTAGAGAACACTTTCTGATGAGTGATCTTGGAACAGAAACCCAATGAAGCAGAGTGAGCCATGCAGCGTCTGGGAAAAAGGGATCCCCAAGACCAGAAGATGGAAAGACCCTTAAGAGAGAGCATGGCTGGCATTTATGAAAACTAGAATGGAGGCCAAGGCTGATGGGTCAAAACAAGAGCATGAGGTTTTATTTTGTTTGTTTGTTTCTTACTTTTTTGTTTTATTTCACATATGAGTGACATCATATGGCTTTTCTGTCTGACTTATTTTACTTAGCATAATACCCACAAGATCCATCCATGTTGTTGCAAATGGCAATATTTATTATTTTTTATGGCTGAGTAATATTCCATTAGATATATATACACCACCTCTTCTTTGTTCTTTTGTCTACCAATGGACACTTAGGTTGTTTCCATATCTTGCCTATTATCAATAATGCTGCAATGAACATAGGAGTTTATATATCTTTTCAAGTTAGTGTTCTCATATTCTTCAGATAAATACCAAGAAGTGAAATTGCTGGGATATATGATAAATATTCTTAATTTTTATATAAATATATTTTATTGAGGAAGGGAGAGGGAGAGTCAGAAACATCAATGGTGATAATCATTGATTGGCTGTCTCTTGCACACTCCCTACTAGGGATCAAGCCCTCAACCCAGGCATGTGCCCTTGGCAGAAATCGAACCTGCAAACCTTTCAGTCCACAGGCTAATGGTCCATCCATTGAGCCAAACCAGCTAGAGCTATATTCTTAATGTTTTTTAGGAACCTCAAAATTGTTTTCATAGTGGCTGCACCAATTTGCAATCCCACCAACAATGCACAAGGGTTCCTTTTTCTCCACATTCTCGCCAACACTTGTCCTATTGATAATAGCCATTCTAACAAGTGTGAAGTAGTATCCTATTGTGGTTTTGATTTATATTTTTCTAATAATTAGTGATGTTGAGTATCTTTTTACATGCCCATTGACCATCTGTATGTATTCCTTGAAAAAAGGTCTATTCAGGTACTCTGCCTATTTTTTAATTGAGTTGTTTGTTTTTTGTTGTTGTTGAATTATATGGTTTTTTAAATATATTTTGGATATTAACCCCTGAACATAAATATCATTTGCAAACATTTTTCCATTCAATTGGATGCTTTTTTGTTTAAAATTAAAATATAACAAACGAAATAACACAAAAACAAATCCACAGATACAGACCACAGAATGGTGGTTACCAGAGGGGAAGGGGGTACGAGAAGGGTGAAATGGGTAAAGGTGAAGAATTATAACATTGTACACCTGAAATTATTTAATGTTATTAACCAACTAGAGGCCAGATGCATGAAATTCATGCAAGGGGCTCGGCCCTTGCAGCCCTGGCTTAGTCCAGAAGGTTGTTCAGCTGTCTCATCTAATTAGCATATATGATCTTATTATTATAGATGTTACCTCAATTAAAATAAATAAATTAAAAAACAAGGGGCTGAGAGTGGAAGGGGAGTGTCAGAGTAATGGTGTTGGGCCATAGCACATGGGAACTTGGTTCTTCACAATACCCCTTCCCCGGGGTGAGGATGGCCAGGAGAGCCCCATGGCAACCTCTGTACTATTATTTCCAGTAGGCTCATGGTCAGACCAGAGTCGTCTCCAAATATGTTTTTGCTTTTGTTTTTGCTATATTTTTCTTAGGCAAGACCCTCTGTATCTGCCCTTCTGTGCAAAGGACAAATACAAGAGCTGCTGGGGCAAAGGTGTCATGTGGCATGATGTCAGAAAGAAAGGAGAGGGCTAGAGAAAAGAAAAGGGTAAGAGAGACATCATTTTAATCAATGGAGACAGGAGCACCCAGCGCCTTGTTTAAAAACAATGGCTACAAACATTCATGACATCGCTGGCAGATCTTCCTCCCACCATTATTAGAAGTAGCACCTGCTCGGTTCATCAGCACTTGGTAACTTACTGGTTTTCAGAGAAACACCATCTCCCTCCAGCTCTGTTCTGCATGCAGCCTGAAACAGGGCCTCTAAAACAGCACATCCCCAGATCTGGCACAGTCTCAGCAGGTGCCTCCCCTCGGATTGTGCACTGCTCACCTGGGTCCCATCTGCCAGGAGGGCCAGACAGAGCACAGGGGTGAGTAGTGGGGACACTCCCACTGCACAACCGGCTGTCGGGTTCTGGAAGGCGCACTTCACTTCCAGGGAGACGCTGGAAAACTTCAACGTCCAGAAGAGAATGACTATGGTGGTGAAAAGTCTAGAAACCTTATTATTCAAGAAATGATCAAAGAAACCTGTCAGGTTTCACCTTGAACCAACAGCTTAGATGGCCACAAGTCCCCAGATAGTCAAAAGGCTCTCCTGCAAACCACGTTGTGTAGCTGAGGCCAGGGGA